GAACTGGTCACTGTAGTTGATGCCCGGGACGAGGATCAGGCCCTCAACGGTAGTCGTAAGCTCTCTAACTGACCGGAACTTGCGTTGGTCTAGTTTATTTATGGCATCAGTGGCCCTTTGCGCCTCCTGTGGGTTATGCCATCGAGCTTCTACCATTTCCATGAACTGGTCTAGAGTCAAAGACTTGGCCCAGTCCGCCATGCGTCGCCCCTACCCGGCTTTCACAACTACCCCATCTAGCCATTTGGCTGCCTTACCCTCTAGGTAAGATGCAGCAGTTACCACTTCATCCTCTGGCAAGGTCCTCTTGGCCTTCACCCAAACCGGGACCGTCCTCAACCATGTGTTGAGTTCCTCGTCCTTTCTCTCACCTGAGAAGGCAAGAGGCAGTTTCATTGGGGTCTTGGGATACCATTGACCTTGCGGCTGTCCAAATTGCTGAACAGATTGTTGTGGTGATGTAGCAATCACCGCTGGACCCGAAGAAGAAGACGCAACAGTCTAGGAGGCTGCTGCAGACGTACCACTTGGTTGTGAACCAGATTGAACTGGAAAAAGGCCTGACATCGCCGTTAACGGCAGCGGCAATTGGGCTGGTGTCCTAAATCCAAGCCTTGTTAGGATGTCCAGGATCTGGTCCAAAGTGCTCTGCATGAAGTCCAACCTGCTGTCCACATGCGCATGCAACGACAGCATGTTGTTCCTCAACACTTTCATGGGCTCATTCATTCCTGAGTCATCTAAGCCCTCCAAGTCAGCCTTGTCAGACTCTAACGTTTCAAGCCTGGCTGTTCTATTCTTTATCTCTCTTTCTCTATCGGTAGCCTCTTTCAGTTCCTTCTCTAATTGTGCACGGATCCTTTCGACCTGCTGGAGCTCCCTCATCTCCCTTTCGCGAGGAGTCAACGGGCTGAACTGCGAGCCCGCAGTTTGACTTGTAGACTGTCTAGAACCTGTTGAACTGGAAGTGCCCGCGGACCCTGTTGGCATTCCCAACTGAGGTCCAGACGAGAACGCAACAGAAGTTGCAGCGGATGCTGCTGCTGCAGTAGGCATGGCTGCTGCCCTGGCTGCTGCTGCAGCCTGTTCCCTAGCTGCAACGTTTGCTGCCTCTCTCGATGCTGCGAGAGCACGGGCTCTMCGTTCGGCACGAAGCCGTCTTTCTTCTCCCTCGTCTAGGGTCCTGAACATGTACGGGATCCTAATTGATCTTGCACGTGTTAGTCTACAACGTCAACTCCCTCCTCGTCGACGTCTGATCCGTTCATCAATTAGGCAAACATTATATGCACTAGAACCCCCCCTAATGGAATCCTACCATAACATGTGTCTGACCGGCACCTAATTTTCTAAATATGGTTGTGTCCGACAAGTCCCCTACTGTACCGATCAAGTGGCATGTCTACAACATTCACACAGATTGTCTACATAGTCTAGATGCACCCTGATTGGTTCACTTACAGCAGTATTAGTTAGAACTGGCTATGGCAGCATACAACAGTCCTACACTAATCTGCCTGTGAGGTTAGCAGTCCGTCAACCAACTAATCAAAGGTACAAAAGACAATGTAGCAGATGTATGATTGATGGGTATAGTTGTGTACACAGTTGACCTCCAATTGGAACCTACCCTCCCCTCAATCCAACATACCAAAACAGCCCCTGAGCAAAGCGGTGTTTTCGTGTGTGTATCCGCCCACCCTTGTGCCCAAGTAAGAGCCAAGTAAGCCAGGCAGCCCACTCTTATTTACCCTCGTACGGAAACGAGGCTTACACCCGGATGATCTGGCTGATCAGGAGGATTATTAAGAGCGCCCCCATCTCTTCAGGAATTCTTTAACGTCGCAGTCAGGACGACGATCACAGCCAGAATCATACCGAGTACCCAACCAGAAATGTTTATAGACGGTCTGGTAAGCGTCTCATACAAGGCTGGCACACTTGGCAAGACTTCTATCTGAGCGCAGCAAGTGCCAAAACAGGACAGCAGCCATGGCATGCATGCACTACTCCCTGTGGGTTGGCATGGTGACCGTGACCCAGTGCTTCGACCAGGGCCCTTCAGAGGCACCGCCCTTTCTCCTTCTAGATGCTTCCGGGAAGATTGTCGTCTCTCAAGGTAGCGCGCTCACGACACCTCACCAAGGAGAGGACTCTCAAGTTGGACTCACTTCCTCACGATAAGAAGAGATTGAGAAGGTAGATAAGGTAAGGGATCAACATACCTGGAGATAGCTGCCCCCAACCACAGATTTTCTCACCAATTGAGCTGATGTTGCATTTGATGACCGATCATGACCTCGGTACCACCCACAACGCAATGCAGTGCCACCTTAGTCCAAGGCCACATCAGCATGCTCTCATCATCAATTAAACATTCCGCTGTATCCCACGGCATATACTGCCGTAATAGCCTTCCGGTGCACCCCTCTCTACCCAGGACGTGCACCTAACGTGGCCTGACGTCACAAGTACCCACTGCGAAGAAGCATCATCAACGCACCAAGTCTGTACAACGCCAGCGTGCCAAAGGTAAGTGGCGATCAAACCAGCTCCGATACCAAATTGCAAGGAACATGAATATGGACGAAGCACAGAAATCCAGAATGCAAAATCACACTGAAGTCCAAGTAGTCAAAGCCAAAGCAGATAGCACATGGAACCGAGTAACCATCC